TGTTGGATAATTGCCTCAAAAGTCAAAAGTTTGAAGACTCCTATTGCAAATAATAAAAGATGTTTATTATATAGAAGACTTCTAATTTAAGTTGAGGCCAGAATCCTATTAGAATTTGGTCTCCAATTTATAGTCGGTTTTGGAGTCATTATTAGAGTTTAAATTAAACTCTTCTACTTGGTTATTTGGTCCTATAAATAGTGGAAGTATTCCATTATTTCTGTGCGTGACCAGTGCGTAGCCTGTGTGTGGCCGTGTGCAAAGAATTACCAAGGAGAAATAGACGGCAGCTTCAGAGAAAGTCAAAGGTTGCTGCTTGAAGTTGTAATTAGAGACAATAATTGGCTGCACATTAAAGAAGTCAAGAAAGGTGGCTCATAGAGAATTACAAAAGCAGGGCAGCATACAGAGTTTGTCTACAGCAGAAGCCAGGATCTATTTTCTCGTGTAATACTTTGAGATTGGGTTGGTGAGTGATAAATTCTATATGATTGTAACAATTTTTCATATAGTGGAAAAGCTTTGACGGTCCGTTTAAATTTGTGCGTTATATTCTTTATTTTTCTTGTTTGCTATTATTATTCCGAACAACAAAAGATCCTGCGGGTTAAGTAGAAAAGGGGAATTGGTGTGAAATTTCCCAACACTTTCATCATTCAATATTTTGTAAGACTTGGTGGAAATTCGCTTGTTTTTTTTAACAGAAAACATGGCTGACTTGGCATGAAACCTCAATGCTAACTTAGAACTTGATTGAAATCTTCAACAGCACCTATGACAAGTAGCAGAGCAAAATACTAACCATGATGATTTCAATCATACTCTCCTTGAATAGAATTCCCACTAACACTTGAATTCTCTACGGAAACTTGAAGATACTCAAAAGAACAAAGACATGATATTTGAAGTAAAAGAAAGGAGAAACAATATATTTTGAATTTTACAACTTTTGATACAATATGTTTACACCATAACATCGTGTCCAATCTGAAGTGGCACAATGTTATCTGCACCCAATCGCTTGTGTGATAAGCAAGTTTCCCTTGTCTTTTCACACATTGTGCACATTCTCACCTTTACAAGGACAAGGTTAAATATCAAGATATGCACTTTGAAGACCTACATTTGTTTAGCAACAATAAATGCAGCTTTCCCAGTACTGTTTCTTCTATACTGCCTTATCACTGTTAAAACTCATGAACACATTAATCAAGAATAGTATTTCTAACCAAATAGTAGCTTCTCAACAATAACCCATTTGGCTAAAAACTTAAAATACTAGGTACTTCAATTAAATTCAAAGCAACTGTCGCTCAGAAAAAAGCAGCGTAAATAAATTTAGCTTTTTTGGGAAGAATTTATATACAGCTTAATTTATAAATATGTAGAAATTATTGGTGGATAATTTATATGCAGCTTAATTCATCCACGTTTAATGATAACTGTTGAGGAATGCTCAACTAAGCTACGATTTAGACAGCTTCCTAACTCCACGTTTGATGACACCTGTTGAGAACTTTTTCTAAACTGTGATGACCATTTTTTGAGAAGTTTTTATTTTGTGTGGTAAAACCAAAAATGCACGTTACATAAATATATCTTTTTCTCAAGAATAGAATCCTAAAACTTCCCTATATATATATATTGCTATAGAGACGCATAATTGAAACAGCTTTTTGAGATTTTATATTCCATAGATTTACATGTGCTTATTTGTATTGAAGAATTTATACAGTATTATCATGCACAGTATGGTGAGTACTCCAGTCGGAGTAAAAAAAGGTACATGGACTGAAGAAGAAGATAAACTTCTCAGGAAATGCATTGACAAGTATGGAGAAGGAAAATGGCATACAGTTCCTCTCAGAGCAGGTATATATTTCCTCGGCATAATGCGTGCACCCAGACACTGGATGTTTTGAAGATTTTGTGTTTGGTGTTTGTAGGGTTGAACAGATGCAGGAAGAGCTGTAGGCTGAGGTGGCTAAACTATCTGAGGCCAAATATCAAAAGAGGTGACTTTACACCGGATGAAGATGATCTCATTATAAGGCTTCATAACCTGTTAGGCAACAGGCAAGTTGAAAAACACATTTCATCATAAAGTCATTATGTTCATTGTTTGATAATTTTATTTAACATCTTGTCACGCATAGTAGTTTCCAAGCCCCATCATACGGCACTTAGCTCACACATAAGTGCTGGGTACGGAGCTATTTTCGGTTACTACTAAATGAGCAATGCAAGTGAGAAGGGTGCTATAATGCTTAAGTTTTAGGAAGTATTTCTGTAAACTAAGCTAAGTTTTTAGTCCAAAAATGGGAATAATATTTCAGTGGCTATTTTGTTCCATGTTGATGCAGATGGTCACTGATTTCCGGTAGACTTCCCGGAAGAACAGCCAACGACGTGAAAAACCATTGGAACACCCATCTGCAGAAGAAGGTATTGGCTCAAGAAGAGGGGACGAGGAAAACCCAGAAAACCACCAAAGACACAATCTTGAAACCTCGACCTCTATCCTTCAAAAGAATTGCACCTTTTTCTTCGAGAGAGAACATAATTTTCGAACCAAATATTGAAGTAATTGATCAAAATTTTGATATTGCATCTCCGTCATCGTCAAAACCAGTAGATGACGAATGACCCAATGGTGGAGTAACTTGCTTGATTCTGTCAAAATTGTTGGAGAACCTGAGCCAGGATCCAATGTAATATCTCTAGAATTGCACGAAGAATTCAATACTTTTCTCTTCACAAGGACATTCAGGAACTTCTGAAAACAATATAATAATTCATTAGAATCCATTTTTCACGTTTCCATTTTGCTGTGTCTATTACTTTCCAGATATAGTACGATGAATTATTTGAAAGACAGACAAGTGCATTTAATTAGTACGTTTGATATGTACGATTTTGAATATGCCTTGTATATCATAAAATATGTATGTACATGTATATTTGATATATTGTAACTTCGATGGGGGGTCATTAAAAGCTCATACATTAACTGCTGACTTGATGAACATTCAAATATACCTGTGCGCCGAATACGATATATTCGCAGATAGACGAAGTGCGGCAACACCATCTTCGCGATTCCTGAAACATTTTCAAGTCCATCGATCTTGGCCATTCCTTACAAACTTACCAAAGTAACAAGCAACGAGAAATTTAGAACTCATATCTGCATTTCAATAATAAAAAAAGAAAAAAAGCTAAGTGTGAAACCATATTGTAAGTTAATTGACCACCTCTTGAGAAACGTTTGGTAACGCCTGTTAATAGTAGATTGGTTTACTAATGCTCGATTAATGTGATTGATTAACATACTGTTTGCTTCCCCTTACATCGCACAAAATGCAAATTTCTTTTAGTAGGTGCAAAAATTCACTAATCTTTATATCGTTTATCTAAATGTGCTAAACTAAGTCAACATAACATTTAACCATTATAAACGAAATCTAAACTAACAAAACACTAAAGAAAAAATATTCTTACCAATACAAAATGTTGAATGTTGGCTTCTAATAACTATTTACGATATGCTTGTATTGAGTTTTGAAGACAAGCATGAACAAATAGAATAGAAATTATAAGGATTTAGTGATTGAGGAGATGAAATATCGATGAAATGAAAGAGTCATTGGATTGTTTTAAATTTGAATCAAATTTATTGTGATATATTATTTTTACAATTTAAAGAGTATTCATATCTTTTACTTTTTTAATTATTTTATTAGTGCTTAAATTTTGACAAGGGTATTTTATTTTTTATTTCTTTTTATTTTATTTTTACAATTTAAGTTCTCCCTAAATTTTTAATCTTTTATTTGTTTAGTTGATGTCATGAGTTTTAAATCTCTCGATCACTTTATGCGTCCAATGTGTTTGAATTAGTGATATCTCATAATGATTTCAATATTCTCATTTACAAGAGGGTCATGCTATTTGTACAACCGAGGTTGACAACCTCTCACATGGCGGGGATCCACTTTTTTTTTTTTTTGAATTTTTTAAACATGCGGATCTCGCACACATGTGAGAGATTGTTAACCGAGGTTGTCAACCTCGATTGTACAAATAGAATTATTCTTTACAAGATTATGTCACTTTACCCCTAGCTTGATGCGCAAGATATTAGTATGTCTTCGTCTTGTTCATAAACTTTACTTGATTAACCCGTAACTGAGCATGTCATATGCATACAAACAAGTACATGAGATTTTTTCAAAATTTTTGGAGTACACATTCGCCCCATTTATTTACAGTACATCCTTTATTGTCATATCACCATCAAATATTTTGTACCTTGCTTTGGAGTTTTCTTTAGTCCCTTACAAAATCCGACAAGTTTTACAATATTTTCATGCTTCCTTTATTATGATAACAAATGACAAGTCTAACTTTACTTCAGTTTTTCATTCAAAGTCTATTTGCATCGTTGTCGTTTTGTTTAATTTTTTTTTATCAAAATTAGATTGGATTTTTGAGAAAATAGTTTTTCCTTCTTTTCATGTGTTTTTATTGGGAAAATATTCTTTCCTTTATTCCATATGATTTTTTTATCTTGTTTTCATACTTGTGGTATTTTTAGGGTTTGGCATGCACTCTATAAATACTATACTCTTTTCACAATTTTTATATTACTAAAATATAGAATAATTTTGTCGACACAGTTATTGTATTTGTTTTCTCCATATTAGTCAATTGAATAAGATACTATATTTCTCACCAATTAATTCTTTGCATTTTATCTTATTGTTTGTTTGCAATCATATACTTCATATTACCTCGATCCGTTTTATTTCCCAACAAATGGTATAAGAGCTATTGGTTGTGATTTGTTTGAGAATGTTGTTATTGATGGTAGGTAGAAAGTATGAAATTTCGCTCTCACAATATAAGATTCTCGTTGTGGCAAGTGAAGATGCGAGATATACTTGCGTAGATAGATTTGGATGATGTGTTGTTAAGATTTGACAAAATGCCCACAACTTGGACGACGAAGGAGAAACAACAAAAGGATCAGAAGGTACCTTTACAAATTCATCTTCATCTCTTTATCAATATTTTTCAAGACGTTTTGAAGGAGAGAACGACTGCTGTGATGTGGTTGACGTTTGAGCAATTGTGCATGACTAAAAGTCTGACAAGCAAATTGCATCTGAACCGGAGGCTGTATTTTCAACGCATTAGAAGGCGGATCTTTGGAAGATCTTAAGTCAAGACAAAGGACTTGTTTTATAAGGTTAATTTTTGCTAAAATGCTACTCAAACTTCATTTTTAACAGTACGTTTCATTCTACCTATAACCTTTATTCATTTTTACCATGTTCTATAAAATCCATCTACTTTTATCAACTGTATTTGCTGAAAATCTACATCAAATGTGCACAAAGTACCATTGAAATTCTGGTTAAAAACATACTACTTCAATTTTAACTTTAAATAAATAGTTGGCCATACGCCAGAAAAAGTTCCACTAAATGCCAGTATGCTTCTTCACCAACCATCCAGTTAAGATGAAAGCAAAGCAATCTTCTTTAAATAAAAAGGGCCAACTTGGAGACACAGAAATCATCTCTCAATGCAAACAAAAGAGATGAATATGTATAGATAAACATTATGCATATACTATATGTAGAGAGAGGGGGGGAAGAAGAAGAAAAATGGAGCTACAAATCATCCGTGTAATCAAATACTGGAGAGAGAGAGAGAGAAAGAGAGAGAGAGAGAGAGAGAGAGAGAGAGAGGAGAAGAAAAAGAAGAAGAAGAAGAGAAAAATGGAGCTACGAATCATCTACGTAATCAAATACTGGATACAAGGAGAATTCAAAAACTTAAGGTATGGCTTTCAGTTTTTGCGTCATTTTTCGACAGTTATTTTGTATACAAAATTGTCCCAAAAGGCCAATTAAGATTCTTCACAATTCTCATTATGTTTGCTTTTGGCAAAGGCCCTTTATCAGATCCTTCTCTTTTACTTGCAAGATTTATTGCACTTTCTTGTCTTCCCATCAAATTTCAAGTAAAAGATAAAGAAAACCCTAATTCAAAAACGTCACAAAAAGGGCTTAAATCTATATGGAATTATGCTTTAAAGAGTTTGCTAATTGCTTTGTTTCTTAAAGTGTATGATTATAATGATGGGAAAATTAGGTCAAGTACCTCAAAAAAATAGGATATTTGATTAATACTCTTAAAACTTAATTAAAACTATAAATCACGTGATAATTACGCCCAAATCCAACCCCCTAAATCCATAGCAGATTGGAGAAAGCTCCAAAGGAAATAATGATGATTCATTCTACTCTATCCTCTACCATAACTCCCTCACGCACTCTTCCTTCATCTACTCCTACCACTCCATCATAGCATAGTCAAACAATAGTTGTTGGAAAAATGCTACACAAATTATCAGGCTCTGTAACAACAAAAGCTCAACCACAGCAGAATATTAATTTTCCCTCTTCTTATGTAAAATAGAATAATAAACCAATCACGAAAATACAAACTAGCAGCAATCACAGAAAATCAACACACAAATTTTTGACGTGGAAAACCCTCCAAGGTGAAGGGAAAAACCACGAAGTGACAATAAATCACCCACACTACAACCTCCACTATGAAAAATAATGGGTTACACAAGTTTCTCTCTAGATAACACTAGAGGTACATCCAAAATATCACAAGCTTTACTTAAAAGTGGATTTCAACAAAAATACATCAAACTAAAGGTTTGGAACTCTCGACAGATGAAACAGTACAAGAAGGGAATAGACTATCCAAACCGGTAAATACGTAGCTTGAGTGTCGACGATGATATACTGAAATTTGGGAAAGATCGGAGAAGGATCCACCGTTGAATCTTGCAAACTACCTCTCTTTCTCCGTTTTCTTTTCTCCTCTTTCTCTGTCTATTTTCTTGTGTGTGTTTGTATGTATTTTAACCGTCTAAACACACCTTCACTTATGCACAATCCAGATTTGTTTTGTTTTGGGTTTCATTGATTTGTTTTGGGCTTTTATCAAAGCCTAAACCCACATAAGTGGACTTAAACCCAACAAATCTCCCCCTCTACTTTATGTGGGATAGGGCTCCCCCATACCTGCAATCTCTCTACAAGTAGCAAGCTTCTCTCTAGTCAGAGTCTTCGTCATCATATCCGACCCATTGTCATCGGTATGGATCTTCTCAATATGTAACAACTTCATTTCCAACACATCTCGAATCCAATGATATCTAACATCAATATGTTTAGAACGAGAGTGAAAAGAAGAATTCTTACTGAGGTGTATAGCGCTCTGACTGTCACAGTAGAGGATGAACCTTTCTTGCTTCTGGCCCAACTCTTGTAGGAACTTCTTCATCCACAAGACTTCCTTGCAAGCTTCTGTAATGGCAATGTACTCGGCCTCAGTTGTAGACAATGCAACACACTTTTGCAATCTGGATTGCCAAGACACTGCTCCCCCTGCATAAGTAATCAGGTAACCAGAAGTAGACTTTCTGGAATCCATGTCACCTGCCATATCTGCATTAGTGAAACCATCTAGTATGCATTCACCCTTTCCAAAACATAGACACATCTTGGAGGTACCTCTGAGATATCTAAAAATCCACTTCACTGCTGCCCAATGCT